TTCTACATTTATTGTTAGCTGGCATTAATCTGTCAAGAATACTTTTCTTTTATGCTCTCTCTTATAGTATCAGTATATGCTAATGAAATTAAAAAAATTCAAAAAGAAATTATTCTTTTTATTCTCAAATTGCTCCAGTTTTGGCGAATGGAAGTCTCCTTCAAGTCTGTCTTTGGTCCCTTGGATATGACCCCACTTTGTCTTTGAGTACTTCCTTGTATTCTACCATTAAAGAGATTTCCCAGGCTCATTTTTTCACTCGTTTTGTCCAAGAACAGGAATCAGCCTTTTTCCCAAAGAGCCCGGGACAGCTATCAGTTTACTGCTGTCCTGCTCCGAATCCATAGCCGTGCTTTGTGACACTGGAGTTGGATCACGTAAACATGCTTCCTTTGCCAGCTGGCTCAACTGCAAGCTTTGTCGGTAGAGGGCACTGGAAGGACACTGCAGGAAACAGGCTTCTTGTGCTGGTGTCTGTCCTCTCTTCTGGCTCCTCCTATGGAGCAGCTGCCAGCGATGTGCACGCAGAACACCCAGTGGCCCTCACTGTCCAGCTAGATTTGCTGGAAACTTGGTGGGCAGTTTCCTGCTAAGCAGTCAGGCCCACGGTTTCCTGCTTGCCAGCCTCTGTCTAGTGGGAAGTGTCCTGTTCACCAACTTCAACTCACCAGCTATGGACCAGCTCCGGTCAAGATAACCAGCAGACTTCTCTGCCATACCCTGGGCTGCAGCTACACTCTATCTAATGAAGTCTGAGTCTTAGCTTTGGGGAGAGGGCTCCTCTTTCCAAATTGTTCTTTCTTTGGGTACTCTTAGCCGAACAATATTGTTAGGGATCTTTTATCTCCTCTGGTTAACCTCCTGTTTCTAGTTAATAATTCTTTATGTTAAATTTTCTCTATTCAAACTACTGGTATGTTTTCTGTTTTCTAACTGAACCCTGAATGATAAAGTACAGAGAACGGGCTTTGAATGGTATCACCATTCAAAGATGCAATTTCTGAATTAATTTGGTCATGCCCTTGGATTTGAGCACAGTACTGAGCCGCTCATCGATAGGAAATGAGATGCTGTGTTCTTTGGCATGCAGGGACAACACAATTAACAGAGCTATGACCTGTGGTTGATTGTGATGAAGTGCCAACTGAAGCAGCTACATTGGGAGCCCAAGGGGCTGCTGCACTTGACTAATGATGACCACAAGGACTGTGTGTCTTAGTCTGTTTGGGCTACTATAACAAGAATACCCAAAAGACTGGATGCCTTACAAACAACAAACATTTACTTCTCACAATTCTGGAGGCTGGGAGGTCCAAGATCAAGGCATCAGTAGATTCTGTGTCTGGTGAGGGCCCTCTTCCTGATTCATAGATGGCCATCTTCTTGTGTCTCTACATGGTGGAAAGGGTCAGGGAGCTGTAGAGGGTCTCTTTCATAAGGGCACTAATCCCATTCATGAGGACTCTACCCTCATGACTTAGTCATCTACCATAGGCCCTACCTTCAAATACCCTCACATGGAGGATTAGGTTTCAACATAGGAATTTGGGGGGAGGGCGGTGGGCACAAACATTTACTCTATGGCAGATGATATGAGATTGAGTCTCTTCATAGTTAGAAAAGCTTTCCCCACACGCAGATTATAAAGTAACTCCCTCATGTATTTGTGTAATATTTTTATAGTTTCCTTTTAAATTTACATCTCTGGTCTATTTGGAAATTATTTTGATGTATGGTGTGAGATATAGATCCAATTTTATCTTTTTCCAAATACATATCCAGTCACTCAAGATCATTTGTTTAAAAGTCCACCTTGGGACCGGCCCTGTGGCGCAAGTGGTTAAGTGCGCTTACTCCGCTATCGCAGCCTGGGCTTGGCCGGTTCGGATCCCGGGCAGGCACCGATGCACCGCTTGGCAAGCCATGCTGTGGTGGCGTCCCATGTAGAGTGGAGGAAGATGGGCATGGATGTTAGCCCATGCCGGTCTTCCTCTGCGAAAAGAGGAGGATTGGCAGATATTGGCTGAGGGCCAATCTTCCTCACAATATAAATAAATAAATAAAAGTCCATCTTTTCCCAAGTGATCTTAGATGCCATATATTAATTCCCATATGTATTTGGGTCTATTTCTGGACTTACTGTTCTCTTCCAGTGTATCTATTCATTTGCCAGTACCACAGCGTTTTTATTAGAGGAGATTTGTAGTGTGTTTTAATATTTGTAGTCCTCCCTTACTGCTTTTTATTTCAGGATTTCGTATTATTGCATGTTTATTTTTCCATATGAACTTCAGAATTAGCTTACATAGCTCTAGGAGAAAAAAGTTTATTTTTATTTTAATTGGAATCACATTACATTTATATATTACTTGGGGAGAATTGATGTCTTTATATTGTTGAATTCTCCTGTAGGAGAACCAATGATGTGTTTCCATTTGTTCAAGTCTTCGTTTTTGGCTTACAGGAGTGTTTCACAGTTTTTCCAATATAGTTTTAGCACATTTGCTGTAAAATATTTTATCTTTTATTTTTGTTTCTATGTTAAGTGACATTACATGTTCTAAATGGTTACTGTCTGTATTTTTTGTATATATGTTTTTAGGTAAATTTTATATCATACTACCTTACAGAGTTTGTTAGTTGTTATTTTTAGTACTGATTTTGTTTTCTAGGTGTAGTGTTATATAATCCACATAGAGATATAATTTAATTCTTTCTCTGTTTTTGTGCATCTAAATGCTTATGATTATTAGCTTTTATCTCCGATACTATGCTATATCGTAGTGGAGATAGAGGACATACCTGCTTTGTCCTTGATCTTAATGGGAATGATTCTAATGTTGCTCCATTAAGTATGATGCTGATTTCCAAGTTGAGGTATAAAATATTTCATCATGTCAAGGACGTATCCCTTTTTTATTTTTATGAAGTTAAGAATGAGTGTTGAAATTTGTGAAAGGTTGTGTTACCTTTTATTATTTGCCCACAGTTCTTTCTTTTTTCCGTTCTTCTATCGTGATTCAATGTGGGGGGCGTGTACTTCACCGGCACATTGATGTTGGGTTTGACCATCTGACTTCCTTCGAACAATGGAATTTGATCAAAAGTGACAGTGTGTCAGTTCTGAGCCCAAAGCATTGTAAGTTTCTGCTCGCCTCTCTGTGTTTCTACCTCTACCATCAGAAAGACGTGCCTTGGGTAGTTACTGGTCCCAGATAGAAAGACATATAGAGCAGACCTGAAACCATCTTGCAGCCTGAAGCACAACCATTCCTGCCAACCCACAGGCTAGTAAGGGAAAAAAGAAAAATATTTGATTGTGAGCCATTGAGATATTGAGGATGTTTGTTACTCATTATTTTCACAGTATAGCTAACTAATACAAAGTCCTTTTTATCATCCATAGATCTAATCATATGACATCTTTCTCCTTAGATCTAACTGTATGGTGGATTACAGGAATGAATTTACTAATATTGAAGCATCACTGTCCTGGAATAAACCCCCTTTGATTACGATACATTCTAAACTTGGTTTTAGATTCTGTTTGCTAGCATTTTATTTAGGATTTTTTTCATTGCTAGTCATCAGTGAAATTGGTTTAGAGTTTTGTATGTGTGTGTTTGCACTCTTGACCAGGTTTGAGTTTCAAAGGTATACTTGTTTCATAGAGATCGTTTGGGCGTTTTCCTTCTCTGTTACAATTTAAATGGTATTGGGATCAACTTGTCTTTGAAGATTTGATAGAATTGCCCTGCAAAATCATTGGGGTCTAGTTTTTATAGTTAGTTCTTTGATAACTTTTTCTCTTTCCTCTGTAGAAATTTGTCTATTTATGCTTTCTTTGTATAGCAAGGTCAATTTTGGTAAATTATATTTTCCTAAAGAATAATCTGATTTATCTTGTTTTTTGTTTGATTTGTATTGAGTTGTACAAAGTAATGTCTTTTGATTTTTAAAATTTCCTCAGTTTTCTTGATTATCTCCTTTTTTAAAATTACTTGTGTTTTCTACCTTTCTTCCTTTATTGGGTTAGCTAACAGTTTATCTATTTTGTTGATTTTTTTTAACAAAGAACCAGCATTTTTATTTATTAGTTTCTACTGTTTATTTGTTCTCTAGCTCATTACTTTTGCTTTTAACTTTATTTCCTTCCTTATGTTTTCTTTTGCTTTACTTTATTGTTTTTTTTCTAATTTTTAAGATGGAGGCTCAATTTGCTTATTTTCAAGTTTTTATTTTTTTATTGCTGCAAGAATTCAAAGCTATGGGTGTTCTGTAAACACTGGTTTAACTATACTCTATTGATTTTGTGTTCTCATTACAATTCCTTTTTAGAAATTCTGCAATTTAAATTTTTTCCTCTTTTGTCCCAAGAGTTGTTTAATAGAGAATTTTTAAATTTCCAAATGAAATTTCTAGTTTTAGAAAGAGCAGACGAGCAAGACCTGGAAATAAAGACGTTTGCTCTACTTCAGGTTTCCAGTACTTTTAGTTTTGAATGAAACTAACAAGTTTGATTGTTACCTGAAACGGCTTTTAAAAATTTTCCAATACAAAGAGAATATTTACTTATTGTCTACAAGTGATAAGAATAGCTATGGGACCTACCAAGTTTTTATCCAAGGCAAGAAAGCAATAAATTTACTGAGCAAATTAATGAAGATGATGAGAAACAAACTGATTTGTGATTGCATCTAGCCTTTCATTAGCTTTTATATCAGCTTTGTGAAAATTACAAAAACGTGCTCCCCCTGGGTGATCCTGGCCTGTAGTGCCCTGCATGGCTGGAGGACTTCTGGCCGAATATCAGCCCCAACTTGGCTGCTGTTTCCTTGACTAGGAACTTTAGCTCAGCCAGAAACTGTATGGCTGATCCACCAGGCCCTAGATGGCTCTCTACTAAGCCCAGCATGTTCATTAAAATGGTTACATTTGTTAATTGCTGGGAAACTGTGGGACAACAGATAAGAAAAGCAATTGACACCACCAAACTCTCATTACATTTGAGATATAAGATTTATTCACACCAACAAAAATAATCACAACCAAATATACACTAATTAAAGAAATAAAAGATTATAGGGACATAAAATTTAATATTTTCTCTTTTAAGTGTGTAAAAGTATTTTGTTTACTCATACAAAAAGTATTTTGTTTGCTTCTACATAAGATTTCTATTCGTAAAAGAAGAGCAAACATTAAAATGCAGTGATAGTTTGCATTTCTTACATGGAAAGAACATAGACCAAACCCTGAAGCTTTTAGTTTACAAGAGTGTTACCATAAAGCCATACACTAAACTAATGATCAAAAACGTTATCTATTTCCAGATCCACATACTTATACATTCACCAGCTAAGCTGAGAAATAAGCATTTCATATTATCTCCCACCCCGCTAGGATTTTTCTAAAAGCAAAAGTAAGAACCTGTATTTTTCTCCTTTTAATTGACCTCAGAAGATGCACTATCTAATTCATGAGAAACGCGAAATTTCAGGTATTTATCTTCTTCCTCGCTCTTACGGTCTAGGACTAGCTTGTCTTCACGGCTATGAAATTCTTGGCTGTGGCGTTCATGGCTGAATTTGGAATTTTCATGACTATCAATCACATCGGAATGCTCGCTGGTCTCATCGTTTGCCTTCAGCTTATATTCTTTGGAGTGCTCGAGGCTGTGGGTTTCCACACTGTGGTCATCCAGCTGACTTGTTTCCAGACTGTCCTTCCCACGGCTGTCCCAATCAGAAGCCACATGCAGGCCCTGGGCAACAAGGATGGCCTTGTGTACACCACCTACCTCCTTGCTTTTCACATGTGATGTGAGGTCCTCTTCTGTAGCATCAGGATACTGAATCACGGCACAAATGGAGAAAGAATTAAATGAACAGTCAGGGATGGGAACACTGTAATTCTTTAAAAGTGCTCTTTTAGGCCAATTTATACTGAAAATTGTCTAAATTTGGCTGAAGCAAAAAATAATACTAGCATGTTACTTTGTATTTTACCAAGCCCTATCACATGTCATCTCCTTTTGTTTATTTTTTATTTTATTTATTTATTTATTTTTTTTGTGAGGAAGATCAGCCCTGAGCTAACATCCGTGCTAATCCTCCTCTTTTTGCTGAGGAAGACCGGCTCTGAGCTAACATCTATTGCCAATCCTCCTCCTTCTTTTTTTTCCCCAAAGCCCCAGCAGATAGTTGTATGTTATAGTTGTACATCCTTCTAGTTGCTGTATGTGGGATGCGGCCTCAGCACGGCCGGAGAAGCGGTGGGTCGGTGTGTGCCCGGGATCCAAACCCAGGACACCAGTAGCGGAGCGTGCGTACTTAACCGCTAAGCCATGGGGCCGGCCCTCCTTTTGTTTAATAGGTACATCAGTCATGTATGTGATGAAATTTATGAGGTAAGTCTCATTATCTCTGTTTTACATAAAGAGAAAGTGAATTGAAAGTTAAAAATTGAAGTGGGGGCCAGCCCGGTGGTGTAGCAGTTGAGTTCGTGTGCTCCGCTGCGGCGGCCCAGGCTTCGAAGTTTCGGATCCCTGGCGCAGACCGACGCACCCCTTGTCAAGCCATGCTGTGGTGGCGTCCCATGTAAGGTAGAGGAAGATGGGCACTGAGGTTGGCCCAGGGCAGTCTTCCTCACCAAAAAGAGGAGGATTGGCAACGAATGTTAGCTCAGGGCTAATCTTCCTCGCCAAAAAAAAAAAAAAAAAATTGAAGTGAATAGTAAGTGGCAAGGCTACATGTCAAATCCAGATCCTTTGACTGTAGATTCAGTGTAATTTGCAACTCTACAATTCCTCTTAGGAATTTAACTTCAAAATGTGACTATTATATTGTAAAAATAATTGCTGTTTTCCAAAGTCTTATTTTAATCTAAAAACGTGAATAGAATAAATGCCCTATAGCCAGGATTTGGAAAAATAGCATTGTGATTGAGAGACAAAATTAAAGAGAAATTACATGGACTTAAACCTAAGAACCACCAGTGGAAAAAGGCTTTGTAGTCAATGGTCATAAAGTGATGATGCTTGCTGAATGAAAGAATGAATGAACAAGTGAATATGCAGATTCTGGTTTCCTAGAATGGGGCTCTAATCATAAGGATCTGACATGTCTGTTAAAGGACTTACCTGGACTTCAGATCTGCGGACCTTCTTAGATTTCGACCTCGGGCCATAGCCCACACTATCACCTCGGCCATCATATGTGTCACTTGTGGGGACAGCTGGTGTGAAAACTGGGGTTGCTGGAAGGTCAGTGGGAAAATCAGTGACCAGTTCATCAGATTCATCAGAATGGTGAGACTCTTCAGACTGGTCAGGGTCATCAGTAGGATCAGTTTCATCTGAGTCATCTGAGTCAATGGAGTCCTGGCTATCCACATGATCTCCATCATCATCGTCATCCACATCGTCTGTGTGGTCAGGGCTTTCATTGGACTTACTTGGCAGGGTCTAAGAATCAAGACAGCCAGAAAAATTAATGTAATGGGTTTTATTTTCCCTTAGCCTTTACAGTGCATTAGTCCTTTACTAGCTTTCTTTTATTTAGTTTCAAAATCTTTGCGCCCACAACAATACATTCAATGGCTTTTAGGAGCTAAAGTGAGCATCTTCCAGTTTTTCTTTTAACACAAGGATAAATGGAATCATAGTCTGAGGTATTTTTCTTGCTTTCCCATAAAAAAAATCATTTTCCTAGGTATTTTCAAGCCAAATATGCAAGTATAACATTTATATCAATAACATTGTTTTTCCTTGTTCATATTAGATGTTATTTAATTTACCAAATTCAATGATGCAATACATACAGACACATAATTTTAAGATTTCTTTTTCTATTTGAAAGGAGAATTCTCGGGAGATCAGAGCATCCATGTATTAATGCATGCACTAAAACCTGAAAGGGCCTCCCTATTCGCATGAATAATCAAGAGGTGACTTTGTTATGTATGTTTATGTATAAACTGCAGCTCAGATCTGTCAATCGAATTAACCAGTTAATGTCTATTAAACCTCTGCTTAGCAAATATACTGGGTCATTTATCTAACTTTCCTTATTAGAGATTCTTAGCATATTCAAACAGAATCTTAAGGAAAACAAATTTAACTTATCTCTGCTTAGCAAATATGTCAACAGTCCTAATAAAAAGAACTGTTATCAAATATACCATTATGTTAGGAACAGAAACATTCCTAGAGGTAAAATCTTGGCTTTGGTAGGTATTAATTAGATGCTTATCAGATATTAGATAAGACAGCTTACAAAATACCTTAAATATATTGTAAAAGGCTTAGTATTTCAAATAACAGACATTAGTAAACATTTCCTGCCACACCAAATTTATCTGAAGAAACCTGGTATTGGTGACATTTAGTAAATATCTGCTTTCTTTCTGAGCAAGTTTTAGACTGGCAATGTACTGGAAAATTTGCTAGTGGAATTTTGTCAGAATTGAGCCCAGACAACGTCATTGGAGAAAGAGTGGCTTCTTTTGTCTCTCCAAGACATAGTGGGCCTCTGATTCAGAGTGAGAACTCACCTCTTGTTTGAGGTCGTCAGTTTCTTCAGAGGACACGGTATTCTGAAGAAGGAAAGGCACATGTCAGTGTACATCATATGTGCTTAACTTTTTAATTCAAAAGTTAGCCTTTTCCATCCAAAGCAAGTCTCATTTTTCAGCCTCATGGGTGGATAGCTTCAAGTGGGAAGAAGCCAACATGGCAGATCAGTTGGTATCCCACGCTCACGTTTACCAACAGGCAGAAAGGATCCATTTAACCAGCCCAAATGGCCTGCGTGGTGGCTGTTTTTCTGTTGTTGTTCTTTAATTGTGAGAAATTTAATTTTTTAAATTAATTAAAATTAAAAATACCTGTGGTGCTAGGAGAGTCTGCTTCTGAGACGGATCAGGCTTGAGCCATGTGCCTACAGCATCTGGGGATTTGTTGTAAAGCTACAAAAACAGTTACATAGTTGTCATTATTAAAAAAAAGAAACATAGGGCTCTCTAATTGGTAAGCTGAAAAATATACTTCACCAATCTTAATGGATAAGCATAACATGCGTGTGTATAGTCAACCAGACCTTTAGATACCCCTCTTATGATTTATTTTTTCTTGCAGATTCATTTAATAAACTCTTACATAGCACTTTCTGTGAGCCGGGCACCCTTTCAAAGTGATTTACATATAATTCAATCATTTTAATCCATTTAATCCTCTCAACCCCCTATGAGATAGGTTATCATTATTATTCCCATTTTACAGATCAGGAGAAACTCAGCCGCAGTGAAATTCAGTGGTAACTCCAGCAGACTGGCTCTTCACAGGTCTTAACCCTGTGTCTTCCTGCTCTATATTTGCTGGCTGAAATTTCCTCTTAGACAAAGCATGTCTAAAGCAGAGGCACCCTTAAGTAGTGCTGATCGTCATTGTTTCCTCTCTCCATGGAACAAGGGGAAACTCTCCAAGGTCCTGCTGTCTAATATGGTATCCTCTAACTATATAACATGTGGCTATTTAAATTTGTTAATTAAAATTAAACTGAATTAATTTAAATAAAATAAAAAATTCAGTTCCTCAGATGCACTAGCTACATTTTGAGTGTTCAATAGCCACATATGGCTAGTGGCTATCTGAGTGGACAGTGCAGAAATAAAATATTAACATCATCCCACAAAAGTTCTATTGCTCTAAGCTGTCCAAGACATGAATGGAATGGTTTTTCCTTTAGCCAAGTCATTTATCTGGAAAGTGATTATAACATGCTAGTGCAGAGGAGTGGAAATTGCCCTCAATGTGTCTCATCTGATGGGCTGTGTCATCCAGGGCCCATCGCTTCATATCCCCGTCCTTGGGAACAAGAGTCCGGGGGGCTCCCCAGAGTTCCTTCCACAGCCAGCCCCACGGGGGGGCTTCTCTGAAAGTTTTTTCTGAAAGAAGAGGTTCCTTGCCCAAAAAGGTACAAAAACTACTGGTCCAGATGAGTTCAAAGTTTCTTTCTCTAAAATAAATATTTATATAAATATTATATATAAATGTTACAATTTATATATATTTAATAAATATAGATATATATTTCCTGATGATACACGTAATCTAGGCTCAGGGAGAATGTATTTACGACTTTCCCATAGTTCCTACTAGCTCTAAATTTCCAGGATTCTAGAAGGTTGAGCTCTTCACTTCTCTCCTAAATATCATTTGACAACTTATATTGCCATGGCTTCATGTGCCGTATTTTATTCTATGAAAAAGGCACTAACTCTTGCCTCAAAGAGTGTGACCTCTATCTTCTCTGGAAATGCTAATTTTTCTGGCTTATTACTGTGATCCGATATTTGTGTTCTTAAATCGATTGGAAAACAGACACATCTAAACACACCAACTTGCACACCCAAACACACACAGCAACACCTCTCCGAACGTCTTCATTAAGTGCTCCGACTGCAGTGAGCTCGGGCAGCTCTCTGTTGGCTTTTGTTCTCTTCATTTGAAATTGAACTCTGTGTGCCTTTTTGTCCAAGCTCCTTGGGACAATGCCCGTTTGTTGTTTGGCTGGCACTATTTCACCTATTGTGGAGGGGCAGGTACATCTATGGTTCTGGTCAAATAATTATAATGAAGAATTTGATTTGGTCTTATGTTTGGTTAGAAAAATGTGATCTAAAGTCAGCTGACAAGCACAATAGATACAAACAGCATAAACAGACTTTCATTTTATAGTGGGCTTTTTAGCAAAAATCTGAGGAGATATTGTGAATATGACAGTCGTACAAACTGTCCAATATGTGAGGTGAATCTTAAACTTAGCCTTCCGCTAAGGAAAACAAAAGATAGAATTTTCTGCTTCTAGAACAGTATATTGACTCATGGAAAGAAAAAGCCACACAACTTCACAGAACTCATTTTACATAAGTGATAATGGCCTGGAGCATTATTTTGTTATATAAAAAAATCTAGCTCAGTGTTAAGAGTATATACTTATTAAACACTTTATTGTGCTCGGCACTGGCCTAGATTGAAAGCAGGCAGTCAATAAATACCTTTATAAATTAACAGCCTTGACCATGAAAATAAGTAAAATTGCAACAAATGTGTTTGCAGTGCTTCTTGCGGCAGATGTATAAATAACTTAACTAGATGATGAACCTAAAAGACGCTTACCAGCTTCTCCTCAGAGCTGCCAGAATTAGCCTGTTGAACCTTTGAAACAGAAACAATGAAAAGAGATTACAATGTGAATGCCTTCCTAGCACATGGCAGCATACAACTCATTTATTTTGAGAATTTTTTTAAAAGATTCAGCTGTACTCACTGGAAGGGCATAGGCGATGCCTAAGAGGCATAAGCAAATCACAGCAATTCTCATGGTAGCGATTTTCCTGCAAAATATTTTGTAAAGAATATTCGATCTCGTCATAGGTTACAACAGTGATAACCTTTTAACGATACCATATTACAAAATAATCACAAATAAAATATATTTTCTGTAGAATATTTTCTCTTTTTTAGAGAAATCTTTCCTTTTTAATATTATGATCTTTTGAGTTAATATTTGCAATGCCACCTTTATTCTCCATCTCTCATTATTAGGCAAGGATGGGAGGAAATTTACAAGATTATATTTATTCAACTTTAAAATTTAGAGTTCCAGAGATTAACCCATTACTATCTGATATCTCTAGCTTTCTAAACCTAAAAATAGATCAACAGCAATTTAATTAAAATAATAAGCTAGTGTGGAAATATTTAGTTTTCAGAGAAGAAAAACACAAAGAGAGAGAAAATAAAGCTATGAAAGAAATTTACTGTCTCCATTTTTCCAGCATGCATTTCAAATGTGATTTTTAACTTCAATTATTAAAAAGGTGCTAATTAGGTGAAATAAAGCTATCTCTAAAGTTGGTGATTTAAGTAAGGTATTCTAGATATTTGAAATGAAAAAGAAAACATTGAAAACAGTCAACCGCTTTTCTGTTTGTGATAAGTCTACTGAGTGTCATACAGGTATTTTGGTGAAAATTTTAACAGGTAAATACAGATGTAAAATATTCAGAAAGGGTTTTTTTCTCCCTGAAAATAGGATAAATCAAATCATTAAAAAATAACATTATCATTGGCTTATATTAGCACTAAAGATCTTTGTCCTTTTAAGTACCTCCACAATCATCTATCCATTTAAAATGATATAGATATAATTATTCCAAAGAGACATCGAATTTAATTTTTTTCTGACTGGAAGAGGTACTTTCAGTTCTTTTGAGGACTCGGTGCAAATATTTTTAGGTTTTATGTTCAACGGGCTTTTAAAATAGCTGGTCACCTTTCCTCCAGGAGATCTGCAATGTATCTTGGCATGTTTATTCAAAAGACTAGAATAATTGTAGTCTGCTTAACAGCCTTCCAGTTAAACTCTTTTCCTTACAACTTGACCTTCCCCCTGATATGAAACTGAATGCTTAAGACAGCAACAAAGTAGCAGACTGCAGGCTTACCTTGGTCTGTGGCTGGCTGAGAAGAGTCAGTCCGAGATGATGCTGCACTGCTGGCCTCCTCTCCTCGCTGCTCACAGCCAGGCCCTCCCAGGATTTAAATGCTGCTCCAGACGGTCTCCACCAACACAGGGAGGAGGAGAGATGTGTCATGAGGTTTTTTGCCGCTGCCCAGCCCACTTGCTCCCACACTTCCCCTTCTGGTTTTGTGGTTAAACAAACAAGCAAACAAACACACAGACTACTCTACAGTTAAAATGTTACTTAGGTACAATATCATTAAACTAGCTTTTTCATTTATGAGATTGGTCTTCAGCATCCTGGAAGGGCACCTAGGGGTCCCCAAAAAAGGGAGGAAATTGACTAGTTCTTACAAAGACTTTATAATTTCTGAATTAGAAGAAAAAACATTAATGTGTCAGTCCCAAATAAAATTAAATATAACGGATTTTTGTTTCTTTTGGTTTAAATAACAGATTAAGGTAATATATGCAACCAAATTTGCCTCATAGTTATACTTATTTAAGAGCTACACGGCTATCATTCAGGCGTACAAAGAGTTCAGAGACTGTCCCTCCGTCCTTTGCTATTCAAGCTGGGTTTCTGTGACGTCAAGCGTGCAGCGGCTTGTCATTTAGACCAACGGCATTAGTAACATTAAAATCCACGTTCATGCCCATTAAGTTGGATTTATAAGGGCCTTTCAAGGACATAGATTTTTGTCGCATTGTTTGAGTTGTTTGCAGGTGATGAATCTGATAACGTGCTATATAAAACAGAAGAATGGTGATTGACTGTAGAGGCTGCGGAAGTAAAGCAGTTTCTGAGAGCAGGGCTACTGCTTGAGAGTGCTGTGTGTGCCGGAGTGTGGCTTGGGATCCCACTTTGCCACTAACTAGCGGTGTGACCTTGGGCAAATCACTGAGCCCACCTGTACTTGTGTCTTCACCTGTCACACGCACACACCATTACCTCGCTCCTGGTGTTTCTGAGAGGTTTAAATGAATTAGCATGGGTAAAACTAGCAATGAGTGGCACATATTATATGCATATTTTAAGCACTGTGTGTGTTAACTATTACTAAAATTTTTAGGAGGAGCAGGTAGTCCTGATTTGTAAAGTCTTTAAATGGAATAGGTTATTAGGATGAGACTAGACGTAAGATCTTTAAACTGTGTACATCAATAGTGTAATTTACACACTTCTAGAGGAATGGATTAGATTCTTTCTGAATCATCTTTTTCTAGTTTTTCTTCCAGGATATATAAAGTTGGTTACTTAGTAAGAAAATTTAAAAAAATTCTATATTTAAAAAACTTTACTGGATATTTAAAAGCTGTTTGAATGAAAGAAAGTTACAGATGAATTTGAATATTGGAACAGAAATTAGAGGTAGCAGAGTTCTGACTCCATCCTAAATATTTAATATCATCTTGAGATTACCTGACCTCTTCATCTACCTTTCTTAGTTGTGAAATGGAGATTGCACTACTCAATTACCTCAGAGCGCCGTTGTAAGAATCACGTGTGGAGTGAGATTAAAGGTAAATGACCCCATTTATTATCAGTTCTATCGAAGGTGTCAGTTCCTATTGACCAAATACTGCTTTTAATATAAATATGGATTAAATAATTTCTTGCAGTGTTAGTAGTATAACCAATCCATAGGTTTTATGGACATTCGGTGGGGGAAAAATATGTCTCTTTTAAATTGGATGCATTCCAAATGAATTGATACAATTGATTTGCGGGTTCTAAGCACACATTTTAATAGTTCAGATGGCAGCTATCTCTGTAAAATATAAAGCACTCAGGTTATAAAGTTGCAAAACAGACTTATTTGCTTTTAAAAGCTGTGTTTTTTCCTCTTTAAACACATTACTCACTCACATAAGTTTGTCATGTTGTCAGTTCAGTGGAGGGAAGTGCACAAATTCTAAAAACAACAAGATTTCCACAAGATTCACTATGGTTTACTCTGTGCCCACGGGAATGATTTAATATGAACTTAGAGAGTTATAGGAATAGATTTCGCTGGAGCCCAGCCATCTTGAGATGAACCAAATGACCCAGCCCAGGACTCTTCCGGTCATAGCTCCAAAGGGCCACACGATGGCAGTGTTTCTGAAAGGGATTTCAGACCACAATCTGGTTCTGTCAGTTTTCTTATTCTGGAAGGATAGAGCATTCACGTATTTAATGACAGAACTATAAAACAGCCATGGGGCCCTCCATTTCTTGGAATGCCAGGTGAGGAAATATTTCCCAACAATGACCTGCTGCACAATAACAGGGAACAGAGAGGCCAAGAGAACCAAAGCATTCTTGTTCTGCTCCGTCCTGGCCTTCAGCAATGCCAGGTGGATGCTATTGTCTCCATCCCCACTTCCCATACTCTCTCAAAAGGTTACTGATCCCGAGGTCTCACTCAGAGTGAAGACTTATGAATTCATGGTTAAAGAATGTGTCTGGGATGCTTCAGAGATGAGAAGATCAAGTGATTTGTAACGGAGGCAGTGCTGTAAAGTATAAAATGGATAGTGTGTCACTCTGAGTTTTGAAGAGGCTCATGCTTCTTGCTTTTTGTAATCAAACATGCTGCTGACATCATTTTCTGAGAAGGATTTTCCAACGGTCAGAATTAACATGTTAAATGATTAAATCAGAAGAGCTTGATCTGTAGCATTTCCACGCTAGTTTCATTCTTGATTAGGCTAATGCTTGGTTGTTAGAATCAAAAGGTCGAAATGATCAAATTCCTTGTAAATCTTGTATGTCGAAAGGAAAAAGCTTAGTTATTAAACTAGAATGAAGAGTGGTTTGTGGTCATAAAATATAGACACCGTAGGAGGACATATGGAAATATATAAAGAACATTTTATTTTTTTCTTGAATTACATGAAAATTCTCATATAATGGGAAAATTTACATGTCCAGATGTCACTGTTTGGTGGACTTTATTATACTGACTTCTAGTTTATTTGGATATTTCTATTTATATTCTACTTAGTAAAGTATAATCAAATTTTGCAACCCTTTTAGCTCTGTCAATAATTATTTTTTCCCCTGAATTAAGGTTCAGATAAAAATCTGATGTCTTGACACCATCAGCAATCTGTCATAGAGAAGTTGGGAATTATAGCCAATCAGAAGCCCACTACAGTATTCATCATTTGAAGTCTAGGGCAGAAGGCATTATTTCTTAGAGGGAGGGAAACGAGGGTGGAAGATAACAGGGTGCTGTTTTTAAGTTCAGACATGAAATGAGAGCATTTCAGAAATACAAAGGAGAAACACTATCAAACTTTTTATCCCATTGCTCAATAACTTAGTCAACAAAATTCAGCTCCTGAAAAAGTGGTCTCGCTATTGGTAAACATTAGTTTCATTTAAAACAAAAGAAAAAAGCTTCTTTTTTAGACCCATAGAATTGTTATAGAGTAAGTAAGTACTCGATAAATTGTTAATGATTAACCACTCAACTCTCCATCCATAACAACTAATTCTGAGCATATAGGTCTTGATTATCAATACAATGCGTGGGCACTATGCTTGAATCTGTATATCATATATTGATAGCTAATATTTACCAGGACTCAAGAATCTAGCAGTATTTCTTTTTCTTTTTTTTTGTTTTTTGTGAGGAAGATCAGCCCTGAGCTAACATCCATGCCAATCCTCCTCTTTTTTGTTGAGGAAGACAGGCCCTGAGCTAACATCTATTGCCAGTCCTCCTCTTTTTTTTTTTTTCCCTTTTTCTCCCCAAAGCCCCAGTAGATAGCTGTATGTCATAGTTGCACATCCTTCTAGTTGCTGTATGTGGGATGCCGCCTCAGCATGGCCGGACAAGTGGTGCGTTGGTGCGCGCCCGGGATCTGAACCTGGGCCGCCAGTATCGGACGGAGCACGTGCACTTAACTGCTAAGACACGGGGCCAGCCCATCTAGCAGTATTTCTTTATCAAAGTATTATCACTAACTCTAAGAGCATTCTAACACTCTTTAAATGATAGATTCTTTAAAGTTGACTTAAATTATTACTTTTTTTTTTCTTAAAATGGCACCATTCTTACCCTCATGGAGCCCATGGATTCATGAAAATCAACTAAGAAATTTGTAACTTGAGTAGCCCATGAGGTTAAGAGGGTGTGATTAAACAGTAAACTCATTGGGCTGTGGACAGAGAAGGCACAGGGTGGAGACCCTGTGTCTACACTGAAGTTGAGGGGATGGGTATTTTGGGATAGGCTCAAACAGGAATTGTCTCTGCCCATCCAACATCAATCCAGCAGCATAGAGCTCTATATCTGCAGCAACAAGAGTGACAGTACAGGAGCCTGTAATCAGAGAGGACCCGAAGAGGGGGAGGTGGAAGCAGCAGGGACGGACAAGGAGAAATTCTAGCAGCCACAGGCCCTTGTTAGCGCAGAAAAGACGTTTTGCCACACTAAGCAACCAGCGACAGGCATTTTGTGGAATGTATTTGAGGGGAGAAAAGCCTTCTCTGAAATCAGTTTATGAGAACTCTCATTTCAAATCTGATGTTTGAGTAATTTCAGTAGAGAATCCATTGTAAGGTTGATATGAAAAAGTCACCATTTCAGTGAAGAACAGAAGAAAATCAAAAGAAAGAGGACAAAAAACGGACAGCCAAAGAAGCAACTGGATCAGATATTTTTCTAGCCACAAATGGCTAAGGGTTTTTCTTTGTTTTACCTATTCCAGTTAAGGAATATCTCACATTAATGTCTCTATTCCATGGTATAACATTTATAGTTTTAGAAAATATTATTTAAAATAATTGGTAATTAAAGTTTGAGTGCTTCTTTAATGTTTGAATTCCTCAGTAGAATGTAAGTTCTAAGATATGCTCATTCCTTAGCAGTTTACGTGCCAACAGATATTTATGCAGTGAATGAAAAAATTTAACTCTATAATAAAATGTATATAATTCTTGGGGCCAGCCCGGTGGCACAAGCAGTTAAGTGCGTGTGCTCCGCTGCAGCGGCCCGGGGTTGGCAGATTCAGATCCCGGGCGCGCATTGACGCACTGCTTGTCAAGCCATGCTGTGGCGGTGTCCCATATAAAGTGGAGGAAGATGGGCACGGATGTTAGCCCAGGGCCAGTCTTCCTCA